ATACATATAAATACACACATACATATATGTATGTATAGGTATAGATACATGTATATACTATTATATACATCTACTATAATAATATATTATACATACATATATATAGAATTTCTTTTAAACCTCATAACAACCCTATGAAGTTGGCATTATTATCCCCATTTTACAGATAAGGACACTGAGTCAGAAAGGGGTTAAGTGACTTGCCCAGGGAGCGTCTGAGGCAGAATTCAAACTCTGATGACGATGATGACTACTAGAATTTATATAATAATTTAGAACTTTATAAATATTATCTCATTTTAACTTCAAAACTCTGGGAAGTAGATGCTATTATTATCCTCATTTGGTAAGTGAGGATACTGAGGTGAACATAGTTTAAATGACTTGTCCCAGGGTCACACAACTAGTGTCTAAGGTCACATTTGAACTCAGGTTTTCCTGACTCCAGGGTCAGCGCTCTGTGCACTATGGCGCCACCTAGCTATGTCTGGTCCCACTTACTACAGAAAGCAGAAAAACGGCATTTTATAGAAAATAGTGTTTTACACCTTTATCCACAGAACAGCATCTCTATAAATTAATATTTTTTCTGTATGCGCTACCTTAAAAAAAAAGAGTCAAACTAACCAAGGTCTCCACTTACTTTTAAAGTGAGATATGAGATAGCTTTATGCAGACCAACTTAAAAGGAAAAGGAAAAATAATGAGGGCAGGTCTTTCTAAAGATAAACTAGAATCAGCAAAATTATTTCTAAATATCAACCACCCTAAATGCCTTTTCATTCTGACCAGTTTTGAGCATCAGAAGAGGATGAACACCCTGATGAAAGATCCTAATTATACAAATGAGTCTAAATCCTAAAACTGGTCCGTGGAAAATTTAAGATAGGTAAAAAAATAAAATTAAGATTTAATCTCCTACTGGGTAAGGAAGATCTACACAAATAATTTAAATGGCATCAAATCATCAGATAACATTAATGGGGGAGATATGGGAATTTTGCATCATTAATTTTTTTAAGACAGTTGCTCAATACATCATGTTTCTGTAAAATACTGACTGTGCAGCTCACAAATGTATCCCTAGCACCAAGCTGCTTAAGATGCCTCAGAATCAACTTCTAATCTGGGATAACCCTAATATTAAGACAGCCCAACTATAAGAGTAACGTCTCAGCCACTGTTGCTTCCTTTGTACTCAGAATCTAAGGGAAAAGTATGAAAAGAGTTCTCCCATAGTTTATCCCCTCTCAAATGCCCAGGCGGCCACCATGACCAAGAGAAAGAGCTATCAGGCATTCCCACCACCACCACCACCACCAGTCTAGTGAGAAGGAGGAAGAGAAAAATGAAGAGACGAGGATCTGTGATTCACGACTGTGCAGAGTACCACACTGACAAAATCTGGAGGAAGAGAAGGAAAAGGTAGAAAAGAAAGAAGAGGATAAGGAAAAGAATAAAATGGAGGAGAAGAAAGGAAGAAGAGAAGAGGAGAAATAGAAAGAAGGATGAAAAAGAGGAGGAAGAAGAAAATGAGGGAGGAAGGGGAGGAAAATAGGAAGAAGGAGGAAGAGTGGAGGGACTACTTCCATTTTGTTTTTGCCTCATTAGTGCCCAGCTCAGTGCTGAGGAAATAGTAAGGCCTTAATGAGTACCTGTTAGTCAAGTGGTTCCATAAATATTGATCAAGTCCCTATTAGCTGCAACACAGTTTTCCAAGGGCTGGCAATACTAAGACACACGCACAAAAATCCCTGCCCAAATCCCTAAGAGTTGGGAGTTGGGGGTGGGGGATACAACATACACAAAAACAGAGAAATATAAAGTCATTTCAAGAGGTAAAAAGTTCTAAGAAGTGGGAGGGTTTCAAAAGGCTTCTGCAGGAGGCAGTATCTCAGTTGCGTTTTGATGGAAGCCAAGAGGCAGAGATGAGCAGGGAACACATTCAAGACATGGGAAGGAGCCTGTGCAGAGGCATAACCGTGGGAGACTGTGGGGAAGAGGGTAGTGCACAAGAAACAGCTAGTAAGAAAGCCACTTTGTATGGAAGGGAGAGTGCGTGATTGAGAGAAACACGAATTAAGGCAGGCTTTAAAGGAAATGGGAGCTATAGCACGAAGGGCATTCAGTGCCAGCTCACAGACTCTCCAGTGTTTCCTAGAGGCCATCATAGGTGAGCACTGAATATTTTTAGTAGCGGAGTGCCATGATCAGATCCGTGTTTTAGGAATATCAATTTGGCAGCTCTAGGGAAGATGGATTGGAGGAATAAGACACTATAAATAGAGAAACCAATAAGACGGCTATCACAATAGTTCAAATCAGAGGTAATAAAGGTTTCAATTAAGGTAGTGGCTATACGAATGAAAAGAATGGATGGACTGGAGTGGGAAGAACTCTGAGGCAAGCAGACTCCACCCTTAGCAGGCATGAGGCAATGAGGGTCTGCACCAAAGGGGCAGCAGCATCAGAGGAAAGAAGGGAGCATATTGGAGAGATGGTGCAGAGGTGAAATCAACAGGCCTTGGCAACAGCCTGAATATAGGGGAGTAGGGAGAATGAGAAGTCCAGGATGACTCCTAGGTTGTGAGCCTGATGGACTGGGAGGATGGTGGTGTCCTCAACAGTAACCGGCAGGTTTGGAAAGGTGGGGAGGGGAGAAGGCTTAGGGGGGGGAAATAATGAGCTCAATTTTTGGACATGTTGAGTTTAAAATGTCAACTGGACATCCAGTTCAAGATGTCTGAAAGGCACTTGGAGACATGAAATTGGAGGTGAGCAGAGAAGTTAGGGCAGGATGGGTGAATTTGAGAATGATCAGCATAGAGATGAGAATTAAATCCAATCACCAAGTGAAGTAATATAGAGGGAGAAGAGAAGAGGGCCCAGGAAAGGAGAAAATTGAGGAGTGGTCTCATAGGCAGAAGAACAACGACAGAGGGGTGTCAAGCTACACTCAGATAAAAAAATCAGTGCCATACCTTTGCTGGGTATCTTTTTTATTGAGTCTTAGCTTAGTAAACTGCTTTTTGCTAACTATTAGCTGGTCTACAACAAAGGTGTCAAACATGTGGTTCACAACACCCCTGAAAAAAGGTAGCCTGAAAAAGATTTAACTGTAATTGAGAAATCTTTAATAAAATACATAAAAAATACAATAAAACAGATAATATTAATATGTGCTTTTCTAAGTCAATAAGAGGCCCACGAGGACTCTGATCCATGGTTCAGTGGTCCCTATTTCTATTTAAGCTTGACATCCCAGGTCTATAAATGTTTTATTTTCTTCTATTTCCAAACCTGAAGCAGCAGGCTAGTCTGAATCAGGTCTGGCCTACAACAGTATATTCAACAAAAATAGGGAATTTTGGAGGAAATATAATGAGTTTCATTTGGCTACGATGTTGAGTTACAGATGCCCATGGGGACACTAAGTGGGGATATAATCAATACTTAGGGAGAAAGGATCCGACAAATGAGGTTATTTGAAAGAAATGAGAGGATCTCTACATTGCTGTATTATGTAGATATTAGACAACAGAAGGGCCATTTAATTGTCATTTATAAATGGTCAAATAAAAACATAATTGTTCTTATAGCCTTAATTCTTTTAATTTGGATGTAGGAGTCATTCCTAAGCTAATATTTAACTAAGATATGAAATTAAAACTTGTATGAGAAGAGTAAAACATAACATTAGCTACCTCAATGACTGAACTAATGAGAATTAGCTTCATTCATCTGATGAAATATAAAGCATCAAATTTCAGATCTAGACATAACAAACATTGCATATTCATTCTGCTTTATCACTTTTCTTCCTTTATTACTCAGTATTGGAGAAGAAATAATCATCCCAACTTTGGCTGTTCCTTTATTGAACTGATTTCAGATAAAGGTTAAACTTACATGGTACCTCCTAGTGAAATATTCATAAGTCTTTTGGAACACGATTTTAGAATAAGAAGTGTGCTTAATTGTTTCTATGTGGAAAACAATTTCTAGGTCAGTCAACTTTAAATTGATATTTAGATAAGTTTACATTTTGCCCAAAGAACAACAAAGAAATGACGGTCTAAAGACAGTTTTGAATTACTGTCTTACTCTGATCAGCTGGGTGCTCTTATACATAGTGAACTTTCTCAATTAATAGTATTTAATAAGTAATTTAAAATTTAACTCAGAATAGTCATGGGAAATAATAGAAATCATGATTTAAAAAATGGATGAGCCCTGATGTCCTAAATTCAGCAAGAATTGCTTAGTGTAGTCTCTAAAAAAGATTACTTGATATATTTTTATCAATGTCTCCCAAGCTGGGTTGACATCACTCAAAAGACGGTTCTGGGTTACCCATAACTCTGTAGGTATCTTCATCATCTAGCATGTGTTTGAGAAGATAGGTGGAGAAACCCAGGATAATCCGATTACTTTTTGTTATCAGAAACTATCCATAACATGCGTTTGAACAGGCTGACCGTCAGGGATGGTCAGACTTTTCTTCATCCCCGGAACTATCATTGTAGGCAAAGAAGGCTGTGAGGCTGTTGACGTAGTGTTCTAAATGATTAGCTCTGTGTGAACTCTTCACAGGAGTTTTGTTTTGTTTTTTTCTTTCTTGTTTGGATAGCCATCTTTGCACTGGTTGATCTACTCTAATAGCATGTACCTTAAAGATTATTTAAAATCTTTTTTTTAAAAAAAATTGTCACTTGAACATTAGAAAGAATGTAAGAGATTTTAGGCATAGTTCAAAATAGTAAATACACAAATTACAGATTAAGTGAAATCCACAAAATACATTTTGGCCTTCATACCTGGAGATTTTTGTGTGGGATCGGCTTTTGGTGTGAATATTCATTTAACTGAAGCCAAAGTTTATATTCATAAGGGCAACTGATCACTTGCTGCCCTTAATATTCTTTCAAATGTAAAAAAAAAATTATTATTTGTCAAATACAAATTCACATAAAGCTGCTCATAGTAGCTGGCAACTGTACCTTTCATGCATGTAGTCAACTCCCAGTAACAGCTGGATAAACCATTCTATTATCTGGTTTTCAGGAAAGGTATTTCCAGCTTCTTTGTACTCCTGAATTTTACAGTCCAGATCTCGACCCTGGAAGAGAAGTATATTCTCTCATGTTTTTCTCAATTGAGCATCAAATTCAAGGCCTTTTTATCAAAGCTAATATAAAAGGATGCCAAGTACCCCAGTCCACAGATAGTATACACTTACTATCTGCATAACCTTGAGCAAGTCTTTTAGTCTCCCTCGGTCTTTATTTTCTCCTCTGTAAAATGAGAGATTTGGATTTGACCTTTAAGGTCCTTTCCAATTCTAAATCCTATCAACATATCTTATGAACTGCTATCAGCATAGATTTTTATCCTCCTTCCACATTCACAAAGATACTTACGTTTAGACAGAAAACAAAAATATTTATACACATACACACATATATATATGTAAATATGAAAGTACACACAAACATGTGTGTGTATATATATATATTGCTTAATATCAACTCTACTATCCATCACTTCTAGCATCAAGCTTAGATGGTTCAGTTCTGAAATTTGTCCTTTCACAACTTCCTCTCACTATTATACCTGAATGAGTTACAGTATACTAGAAAGATATGTACAGCAGAATTCTTATATGATTATGTAATAAATATAATTTATTTGATAACAGACAGAAGATAATAATTTGATTATTAACCACTAACTGAGGTGTAGTCATTATCAGAAAGAACCTCAGGTCTGAGTCCAGAAAGATAAGATGAAAAAGCAATGAAAAGACAAATTTCAAAACTGTGTCAGCTGAGCTTGACGCTGGAAGCGATGGATACTAGAGATGCTATTGAGGAAGAAGTTCAAATGAGCGGAACAATAGCTTTGAAGCACAGAAGCAAAGAAGTCACTCAGTGGATCAATTAGTTTGGCTGAGGCTTTATTCCTAGAGAGGTGTTAATGAAACACAGAATAGATGATCTTAAGTTAGCAGTGGAAGCATCTGTTTAACACAGGAACTACTTTCATGAAGTAATTTGTGAGGACAGTTCCTGAGACAGAAGACATAAAAGTTGACAGTTCCACAGTTGTGAGTTATCTCTAGCAGAGGGGTTTTCCTCACTCATGTGCTACCCTGGCAGATTTCAGTATGTGTCCACTCTCCCCTACCTATACTGGGTGCATTTGAAGGAATACATGATCCAGGTCTATATGTAGATTATAATATATTTATTCCTGGAAGTATAGTTTTTATGAGCATGTATGATATTATTATTATTATTATTATTAATATTTCTTTCACCTTATTATTAAGTAAATGGGTAAGTTTTAGATACGAAAGTGTCATTATTATGAGTGGCTGGTTTTGTGTAAATAGAAGCACATCAATGGGGGTTCAAGAATTGCGGTGGTAAATAAAACAAGTGCATTCCTTTACAACAGAGCTAACCCTTAAGAATTTGTGGTAATGGTCCCTCTCTAGAAACCTATACCTCCCAGAGCGAAGGCAAGTTGGAGTGAACAAGCCAGCCCAGAGAGTAAGCAGTATAGACACAATCTGTGTGATTGGTGTACAGTGCTAAAACATGGCGAAGCACACCAGGCTCCCACTCTTCCGAAGTTCATGCTAATTACTCAAGCCACACTAAACTGACGTTCCTACACAAAACATTTTCACTAATTAGCATAGAGACATGGAAGAACTTTTGACGTGAGGAGCTATATAAATACTATAGACACACGAAAAGCAGGGTGGTTCAGTAGAAAGAGACCTTGTTCACAGTGAGTAAGACCTGGGTTTAAGCCCTCTCTCTGACACATACCGGTTGGGTGACCTCAGACAAGTTAGTGTCCTAGAAACTCTCTAAGACTTTCAGTTGCAGAGTAGGGTCCAATGAATATGTCTATAATATACATGTATATATGTGTATGTATGTATATATGTATGTATATACATATACACAGTATATGTAATTATATACATATGTATATGTGCTTCTCTGATGGAATTCTATCAGCATAGATAGCCCCCTGATGGGAGGAAATGTTTCATTTTTGCCAATTCTACTGACAAACAGTAGATATTTAATAAATATTCGTTTGATTGATTGACTACATAAAAGTATATAATATAATTTTTCCACCCTGATTTTTGCTTCTTATCCTAAACTAGCAATGCTTCTTCTAAGGCCAGAAAGGACATCAACTCTCTTTTAGTTTACCTTTTTGTCAGATTCTCAAACAAGAGTCCAACTTATCCTTACCTGCTACTGCTGAATTATCCAGATGTTGAGGCCATGACTGGCAAAAAATATTTTAATGTAATCTGTATTTCCATACAACAATCATCACTTCTACTCTGCCCAGTGGTGATAACCCAGCACAGATTTTAGACCCTACTGGTCTAAAAAAAACAAAACCCTTTACCTCTACCCCTGCCTTTTCCTAAAACTAGGTTTCTATGAGCATGGCCCATAAATCACACCATTACTAAGTGAGTGCCAACAAAAGTGGGAAAAAAACTGAAAAGAATGGTGATAACCAAAATCAACAAAATGTTTGAATTGAAGGAAATGTAAAAAGAAATGTTTGCTCAATGAAATAAATGAATGTAGTAGAGATCTTAATGAATAAAGCCTACATTAATCCCATTGCTTAACACTTAATGATTTATACTTTATGTACAATAAAAGAAACTCTCTCACTCCCCCAAATAATTCTTTAAAGCCACATAATTGCTAATTCAGAAAAATTACGATTTAAAATTTTATCATTCCTTTCTTGAAACTCTTTTTATGAGGAACAATGCCGATGCCGATGATTGACTCTCACAGCAATTTCACTAATAATTTTTAAATGACAGCATTTCTTAGCTTGTTTGATTTTTCTAAGCATTCCTAGAAGATATCTTAGAGTGGTTTCTAATGGTGACCTTTTTTTCTGATGTGATTGTAATGAAAAGGGGATTTATTTTAACTTGAAGCTAAAATTAATGCTGACTTACTCCAAGTAGAATAAGTTTAACTAGATATTACCCCTAAAATACTGCTTCACTTAACATGATTTTATATTATTCCTTCCCCCTTTTTAACAGAATCACCTAATTTTAGAAATCAGTGGACTCTAAATAGCTAACCCAGCCTTGAAAAAGGATTCCCCCACTACAATATAGTATGAGAGTATTCATCCTGCCTTTGCCAAGAAACTCACAGTGAGGGAGGAACCCTCTCCTCTCTCCTCCCCCAGTGAGCTCATTCTACTTTGGGAACAGTTAGGGGAAGTTTTTAAATTTTTTTTATAATGAATTTATTTTTAGTTTTCAACATATACTTCCAAAAGATTTTGAGTTCTAAATTTTCTCCCCCTTCTTCTCTTCCTCCCTTCCCAAGACAACATGCAATCTGATATAGACTCTACTTATACATTCAGTTAAACATATTTTCATATTAGTCATGATGTAAAGAAAAATTAGAACTAATGGGAGGAACCACAAGAAGAAATAAAATAAAACAACAAAAGAAAAGGAAAGCAAATAGTCTGCTTCCATCTGCATTCAAACTCCATAGCTCTTTCTCTGGATGTGAATAGCATTTTCCATCATGAGTCCTTTGGAGTTGTCTTAGATTCTTGCATGGCTGAAAAGAGCTAAGTCTATCAAAGCTGGTCATCACACAATGTGGCTGTTACTGTGCACAACATTCTCCTGGTTCTGCACATTTCACTCTGCATCAGTTCATATAAGTCTCTGCAGGTTTTCCTGAAGTCCATCTGCTCATCATTTCTTATAGCACAATAAATAGTATTCCATTACATTCATATACCACAACTTGTTCAGTCATTCCCCAACTGATGGGCATCCCCTCAATTTCCAATTCTTTGCCATCACAAAAAGAGCCACTATAAATATTTTTGTACATATGATCTCTTTGGGACAGACCTAGAAATGGTATTGCTGAGTCAAAGAGCATGCACATTTTTGTAGCCCTTTGGGCATAGTTCCAAACTCCTCTCCAGAATAGGTGGATCAGTTCACAACTCCACCAACAATGTATTAGTGTTCCAATTTTCTCACATCTTCTCCAACATTTATCATTTTCCTGTTTTGTCATGTTAGCCAATCTGATAGGTGTGATGTGATTCCTCAAAGTTGTTTTGATTTGCATTTCTCTAATCAATAGTGATTTAGAGCACTTTTTCATATGACTATAGATAGCTTTAATTTTTTTCCTCTGAAAACTACCTGTTCATGTCCTTTGACCATTTATCACAATTAGGGAATGATTTAAATTCTTATAAATTCGACTCAGTTCTCTATACATCTTGGAAATGAGGCTTTTAGGGGCAGCTAGGTGGAGCACCAGCCCTGAAGTCAGGAGGACCTGAGTTCAAATCTGGCCTCAGACCAAACACTTGACACTTACTAGCTGTGTGATCCTGGGCAAGTCACTTAACCCCAACTACAAAGAAGGAAGGAAGGAAGGAAGAAAGGAAGGAAGGAAGGAAGGAAGGAAGGAAGGAAGGAAGGAAGGAAGGAAGGAAGGAAGGAAGGAAGGAAGGAAGGAAGGAAGGAAGGAAGGAAGGAAGGAAGGAAGGAAGGAAGGAAGGAAGGAAGGAAGGAAGAAAAAGGCTTTTATTGGAGATACCAGCTGTAAAAAATTGTTTCCCAGCTTTCTGCTTCCCTTCTAATATTGGTTACATTAGCTTTGTTTGTACAAAAACTTTTCAGCTTAATGTAATCAAAATCATCCATTTGCATTTCATAATGTTCTCTAGCTCTTGTTTGTTCATAAATTCTTCCCTTCTCCGTGGATCTGATAGGTAAACTATTCCTTGCTCTCCTAGTTCACTTATAGTATCAGCCTTTATATCTAAATCATGCCCCCATTTTGACTTTATCTTGGCATAGGGTGTAAGATGTTGGTCTATGCCCAGTTTCTGCCATTTCCAGTTTAGGGGGAAGTTTTTCTTAGCCTTGAACCTAAATCAACTTGCACCCTACTCCTTGTTCTGCCCTCTGGAACTAAGCAGACAAGGCTCCTTCACGACGTGAAGGTTATCCCATTAAGTCTTCATTTCTCTAGAATAAACATCTTCAGGTCCTTC